GTAGATTGTTGTGGTATATTTGGAATCTCATAACCAATTCCAGATGAATGAGAAATTCGGTCCAAAGTTAGAAGAATTTCGAAATGATGCAGGTTTGAAATGAAGTGTTGCAACTTTTCATGAAAAATGCTGAATTTGGAGGTGTGTCCCTTCACCCACAACCCTTCATCTTCCATATATAGACCCCCTGGACGTGTATTTGCAATTTCAATTCATTCCACAATTCCATATTATTCATTTCATGTCAAGTTACATAAAATACTTTGTAGAAGTGATTATGTCTTGCATCAAAGTCATGTTTATGGTAGAGAGGAAATTCAATTCGAGTTCGTTGATCGAAATCATTTGGCGTTCTCCTATGGCTAGACATGATCGTTGTATCTTGAGAGATGATTGTCGAAAAACCATTAGCACCGTTGCGGGGCAAATTCATCTTAAGGACAAAGCGTCAAACACTTGCCTCGGTCCAAAATCCATCGCTTGCATCTTTTTTTCTTTGTTTTTATGATTTCTCTAATTATGGTTTGATTTCAGAAATTGATTAACATTATTTACATATTTTTTCTGCGAGATTTGATTCAAAGAATTACCTGCGTTAAAAAGTCGAAAGAGATGAATCCATATTCATGCATTTGGATTTGGTAACTTTTATGTTTTGCTTCTCAAATCCTATTTCGATAAGTCAAAATTACGTTTTGATTGCACGCAAATAAACGGTATGCTTTGTTTATATAATTTGCACATTATCGGTGTAATATTCACAACAATCTTAAGATGAATTTTAGTGTTGGTCATGCATCTTATATTCTAATTCTTGTTGAAATCTGGTTCTGGAAAATCAGTACGTTGTTTTCTCTGTGATCTATTTCCGATGGCATTAGTTAAGGACTATAAGACCACTTTAAGGTATGATTACTGTTGGTTGGAAATGAATCTGTGAATTATTATGTGGCTGCAATTATTTCATAAAATTAGTCAAAATCATGAAAGTGGGTTTTATTTTTGAACAAGTGCATGATGTCGTTTCATTAAATAATGACTCTTCAATTTTTAAATAGTTGGTGGTTGTTTGACGGGAAAGAATATACAATTAATTGCATACATTGCTGTAATAGTGTGACCCGTTTGAAATATGAAGGCATGGCACGTGAATTTTCACATGAAGCGAATGTCACCAAAGTGTGAGGGTAGTAATCAATATATCACATGGATTTCAATTAGTTAATTTATTTAGTGATAATCACTCGATGAAATATCTTGACAAATGCGTGTGCATGGAAAATATTTGAATGAAGAGGCATGGTTTGGTGCCAATATTTTTGGATATGGGTTCTTATCTTGGTGAAAATTTCAAATCTTATTGAGCCTCAATTAATTTGATGAAATTAAATTAGATGACTTATGCTAATTATATGTGCATAAGATTATGACAAAATGTGGTTTGTCCTAATTATTTTAAAGTGAAAATTGTTTATCCAATTATTGGAATATGAAATTATTTATAGAGCACAAACGGTGTTTATAGTTAGCGGTAGTGTCGATTATCCTTGAAAATAATGATTGTAAAACAACATTCACTTGGAAAGGATAAAAACTATGTTATGGAAAATTGTGTTAGAATATTATGAAATATTCTAAGATCAATTTAAATGAAAAAGGTGTATTTTCATATGAATAATCATGAATTCTGGTATGATTATTTTTTAATGGCTGTGTCTCTTCATAGGGATTAATTCAAGATGTGTATCCTTTTGTAGGGTTATGTCTCTTGAGAACACAACTTTTCAACCTATGGTTGATTCGTTCATTCAAATTTGAATATGGTGAAGAAAGTGAATATGTACCTTATTATTTAACATAAAATGAAACTATCATGTTAAGTGTCACAAATGTGATAAGAGAAGTTGCAATTCTTGTGAATCAAGATGCATAGCCATCTTCACTGTTGAAATTGACTTCAATCGTAAGACCAATTAAATTGGTTTATGCTTGGAAAGCATCGCTGGTCCATATGATGGCCTTGATTTTATTTGGATGATCAAATTAAAATAATTTGATTGAAGTACGTTATATACAACTTTAATTGAAATAAATTGTGAGTCGAGAACCACTATTTTGCAAGTACTTAGACTTTCACGAAGCACTCGATACGGATATTATCTAAGAGATAAATGAATTGAACCATGAAATAGTTGCTGAATCCTAAGTTCAATTGTAACCCAAAGATGTGGGGGGTTATCGTAAATGCTCGTGAACTTGAATGAAAAGTTCAAAACTTGTGGATGCAACATTAATAGATTGCATATGTATTCTTAATTGAGGAATTGTAGTGGTAACTCAGTTTAACATTTACATTTGCTTCTATCTTATAATCATGAAAGATATCTATGAAGGTTGAAAGATAGAAAATCCTTATACTAATTATAAGGATGATATAAACTAAGTCTAAAGTGGATTAAATGGGTGGAAGTCAACTGTGGCAATTGTTTGGACATGCAAGAACAATTGGAATATTTGAAGAATATTTATAAAGTTCGAATGCACTATAATGTTTCAATGATAATATTGAATACCCATGATTCTGAAATCTACTAGTAAACATGGTTGACTAGTATAATAATTAGATAGAAATCCTCTAACAATGTTGTTTTGGATTTAATTAAGCTTTAGATAAAGCTAATAAGAAGCATGTAGCTTCATGAGATGATTTCTTGGTGGTGACAATTTGTATCTATTAAATGAAATTGATCGTTGGCTAGCAATATTTGATAAAATACTAAGTCACATATAATGGTGTATAAGTCAGATATAATACCATTAAGCAGTTGATCTCAATGGTGTAAACTTGTGGTACTTTTAAGAGATTTACCGAGAGATTAAGTATACTGCATATCGAAAGGAAAGGGGTTGAAGCCTACTATGTTAGAGCCCTTGTAATGGTAACCCTACCTTGTTGACTAGAGATCCTAAGATCTTAGTTCAAATGGACAACTAAGTTATGAGGATTCCATGAAGCACTAAGGAAATCAAATTTCCTAACTTATTCCTATGATATTAAAGTGCTTTCTATAGAGTTGTAAGATGTTAAGATAATCTTTTAATGATTCCTATATCTTGACTAAGTTAAGTGGAGTAGGGCAAAATACTCTTAATAGGAGGTCACCTATGTGAGTGTGAAGTGGGGCCGCTTCAATGAGAATTATTCAAGGCTTAAATTCTCTAAACACTCGCAGAACCAAGAAGGGTTCAGGGCCAAAATGAACCAAGTCATGAGAACCATGAACGGTTTAGGGAAGACATTGTGTGAATATTGTTGTCTTGGCTTACAGTAAAGGCTGAACGGTTCAAGACATCACGTTTACAAATTAGCCAAGTAAGTCCGATGGTATTTCACTATAGGAGGTTCAAAGCCAAAAGCTACTATCCTCAATGCAGTGGCTTTTCACTCTCTCTCTACTATGCATCACATCATAGCATTACATTTGCATACTCGAATTTTCATTCATATGGGAGATTGCTGGAATTGGTTTAAAAAGAAATTGAAAAGTTGGTTAAGTATTAAAACCAAAATGAAAAGGTGTAACTTTATGTCAACTTTAGCCAAATATTCAGGCTTAATCCGATGGTCAAATTACAAAAATAAATAGACCAATCTATTCTACTCGTCGAGTAGATCGTCGTGATAAATTTAGAATCTCGTAAACAATTTTGAATGAATGAGAAATTGCGGTTCAAATTTGGAAGAATGAAGTGTTGCAACTTTTCTATATGATGCAGGTTTGAAATAAAGTGTTGCAACTTCTTATGAAAAATGTTGAATCTAGGTTGTGTTTCTTCTCCCACAAACCTTCATCTTCTATATAGAACCTCTTGGACGTGTATTTTCAATTCCAATTCATTCCATAATTCCATATTATTCATTTCATGTCGAGTTACATAAAATACTTTGTAGAATTGATTATGTCTTGCATCAAAGTCATGTTTATGGTAGAGAGGGAATTTCGTTTGAGTTCGTTAATCGAAATCATTTGGAGTGCTCCTATGGCTCGACGTGGTCATTATGTCTTGGGAGATGATTGTTAGAAAATCGTTAGCACAGTTTCGGGGCAAATTCATCTTAAGGATAAAGCGTCAAACATTTGCCTCAGTAAAAAATTCATCACTTACATCTTTTTTTTTTTTTTCCTTTCTTTCTCTTAATTATGGTTTAATTTCAAAAACTGATTAACATTATTTATATGTTTGTTTTGCGAGGTTTGATTCAAAGAATTTCTTACTTTCGTTCAAGAGTTGAAAGAGATGAATCTATATTCATGCATTCGGATTTGGAAATTTTTATGTTTTACTTCTCAAATCCCATTTCAATAAGTCAAAATTACATTTCAATTGCACGCAAATAAATGGTATGCTTTGTGAATATAATTTACACATTATAGTTGTAATATTCCCAACAATAGGTGTGTTCTTATTTTTGACCTACAAAGAATATTACACTAGGAAATAATCTAATTAATTGATTATTATCCTATTAAAAATGCAAAAACTACTAAGCTAACTAGGAAACTTATGTATAACTAATTGTGTGGAGTCTTCTGCCACAATCACAAAGACTATGAGAATGTTAATTAATTCTAGTCCTGCTCTCAAGTAGAGGCTTTCTGACAACTCAATCGAGCATGCAAGATAGGTTGCCTTACTAGGGTTTGGTACCCAAGTAAGCCGATGCATACCATGAGAATAAAGAGCATCAAATAGGGGTGTTGCATGAAAAATGCTTCTTATACACTAGAGTGTACACCCCTCTCACATGAGAGAGGGCCCACGATGATTAAAAAATTCATTGGACCCCTCTCATGTGAGGGGGCTGTACACTAGAGTGTATATGTAGCACTTCTCATGTTGCATATAAGTACGCTGATGTTGAAAGATGTAAAAGGTGGAGGGAAAAAGTTACTTGACATTGTTGCATACAAGTACGCTGAAGTTGATCGCAGTCTTTGAGCTCAGTAGGATAAATTACCAAAGGTAGCATTCATCTGCCTTTCTTCTCTAATTTTTTCTTGTCCTATTTTGCATTTTTGTATGTGTGCTTTTTTTCTACGTAAATTATAATGGCAGAAAGTCAAAACATCTACTGTCTTTGCACTGGAACTTGGCTTATTACAGTAGAAATCCAATCTTTCCTCTGAACCATGCAGGATTTTTCTCTAGAAAATTTCAATAGCAGTCTTGCTGAGTTTGCTGGAAATGTGGCTAAAATATGAGCCCACGAGGAAAGCTTCTCCTTTAAGAACTTACCAAAACTATATTAGGTAGGACGACTTCCCTGTGACTGTTTTGTATTGAAATCCTACATAGAGAAATAATGATCAATTGAACGACTTACTACTAACTATGGTTTTATTCTTTATTGCTTGTGTTTAGTTTCAGTTTAACTGTTCTCTTTTATCTCTGTGCACTTGACCTCAAACTCCACTCTACTTTGCCATGTATAGGAATTTTCCCTACAAAAGTTTCAATCGACTTGCAAGTTGCAAGCTACATTTCTTATCCCGATGGGCTTGGGCATACCTATGTAACGCTGTATCCTCAAAGGAAATTCGTCTACCAACAGCCAAGTTCTTAGGAGCTGGAGCTGTTGTTGCCATTGCTTTATTATATTCTGTACGAGAGATATTTTGTTCTAAGAAACTTGTGTAGTGATTAGGAAAATAAAGAATGTCATTAAGAGGAGTCGACAAATTTATGGTACAAGAATAGAGTATCTCCATTGTATGTTGTATCATCAGAAAACTTGTGATTAGATTGAGTTTGACTTGGTTTTGTATTGAATAAAGCAATGTAGTTATATTGCAAAATCTTGTTTGCTTCTTTTGTTATTGAACGTGTCACAGAAATCCCTCGATAAATTTTGATTCCAGGCTCAGAAAACAATCAAATGAACAACGGTTTACCTCGACTTGACCCAAGACTTTCACCTTGACTGCCCTCTTTCTTTCTAACCCCACAAAGGAGAAGGGTGGTGGTGTTAGCAATTCACAAAGGTATGGAGAGGAAGAAGAAACTATCACAATGGTTGAATCTCACTCACAAACTCACATGGCTTCCCTCTCTCTCGGCTGCCTCTCTTCTCTCAACTCTCCTTTCCATTGCTACAACACGTACACACACCACACGGCTGGGAGATAGATACATATGTATAGGTTAGTTTAGGTCACCGAATATGGGCCAAGAGATCTCTAAGTGGGCTGCCATATAACCTAAACTAATGGGCCAATTTCCAACTCCATATTAATCACTGAATGGTCCAACTAACCAAATAATCATCCAACCCAAACCCAAGCCATCCAAAAGTGTAGTTCATCTCCGAGCCAAGCCAAGTCCATGGTGTCGATAAATAATCCGACAACTATTTTAAATTATCGTCCGGATTATTGGGTATAAAAAATCCAACAATCTGCACTTTGATGTTAATCTACAGGCAACCAAAACACAAAGTTTATACTTGCACAATTAAGATAATCCAATAAAATTGGAACCACAGACCTTACCTCATGTTTTCAACCTGAAACACATATGATACTTGCTCCATGTACTTAGCAGGGCTAAGGTCAAAAACATCCAAGTAGAAACAAGTATTCACAGTTAACAAACAATCATGCGATGAAGATATATAAGATAACACACACAGAGATCTTTTCAAAATCACGTTCACACAGAACTACAAACTAACATCAAGTTAATCAGCACACAGTCAAACACATTTGCAACAAATGTGTAAATGACCTCACGAAAGATCTCACCACACTTATCCTATCCCATTTCGTGTTACTCCTACCTCAAAAACACATATTTCCTTTCATCGCCCACCATGCTCACTAAACCAATCGTTCAACTTATGTCTAATGGCAAATCACAATAGATCCTAAGGTCTCGAGATAATCCTCTATCACCACATCATTTCTCCCAACCTACGTGGATAATGAGACTCTATCTTACAGAAGTGATAAAAGTGCCTCTCTCACACTCTACCTGTACAGGGTCTCTTTCGCAGATAAAGAATTTCAACATTTGATCACCTCACCTCTCGTGATCTAAATGTCAAACTCCACATCTCCCATGCATATCACAAATGCACCTCTAGGCATCTATACTCCACCTTACCATAAGGCATCTAACACACTGCTAATTCATCACAAACTCACTACAGCAAATTAACACCTTTCGGTGACCACAAAGGTTATTCGAATCACCAAAGCTTCAAAAAATCCACAAAGAAAACGATGAAGGTGGCATTCACAAAGAAAAATTGAAGAAAGAGTCGGTTACTTCACTACACTCACAAAAAAAGGCTCACAAAGAGAAAGAATGTAACCCTAACATGACCGCCTCACATAATATCACAAACCACATAGGCTAACAAAGATAAATGAGAAAACGGTTGCCCACCTTTCTTCTTACTACCATACTCTCACACTACTCACAGAGCAAATAGAGTACGTCACAAATCTCAACCTACTATGCATGCAAACACATTACACAAAGTAATAAATCACTCTAATTCACACAATTACACATATCAAACATAATGAAAGTGTAACATAACAACGCGATAGAATTAAATAATTAAATGCATGCAGAAAGGATTACACACAGATGTAATGCAGTAACGAGGTTTATTCTCTCAATAAAACCTCATTAGGATCACTACTCGACCATAAAGTCACATTCGCATCATCTCTATCCTCATCTTTCCTTTTATTATCATCCTAGGACAATCTCTTTCAGCTATACCCAAATTTTACCACAGTTAAAATATATTTTATTTTTCGCACTTGCCTTAGACCTATACATGCCAACAATATCAAATAATGACCACAAGTAAAGTACTGACACATAATTCACACAGAATAGTCAAGTAAACTTTTCTAAGGTCACATGCAATTCTATCGGTGTAGAAAAATTGGTGATAAATTCACATAGAATTTAAAGCAATTAATTAACATATAATTTCTTAGTCTAACAACAGGCAATGGTTACCCCTTCACAGTAACCCCAAACCTAACGTCACCCCTCATGATGACTTCTAACTTGAAAAATAAATAATTAACCTACACATTAATTTTAACTACAATAATAAAAGGCAAAGAATACGATACCGAGCAGACCATGTCTGACGGTCTATAAATATTGATAGACGCGAAGTCACCACTTTAGGATTGTCATTTTTCATCCTAAAGTCACCAACAATCACAGCTACACGAAAAATAGCATCTGGCACACGAATTTCCAAGGGCAAAATCATCCAACTTTCACGATATTGTTCAAAAATGAAATCCGACAACACTGCATGGTCTGTATCATCACTAGCAACATTCTATCTGAAGACACCTTCATCGAATTCTGCTCGACGTGCCTACACACGCCCTGGCCAGATCTCCATGCACCGGCGCCGGCGCCACACGCGTCGACCACACGTCACCCTTCTGGATACGTCTCTGCCTACAAGTCCACTAGCGGTGTCCATTTCTCCAAACTATTTTTGGTTTTACAAGAAAATGCCAAAAAAAAATCTGTCCAGTTTTGTAAAAATCTGCCCACATTTCGTCCAGTTTTCTGCCTATTTTCTAGATCGATTTATGGCCACTTCCAACTCATTTTTAGCTCCAAAAATCAAAGATTTATCAACAACACAAGCTCTGATACCAATTGTCGCCGAAATTCCTCGATAAATCTTGATTCCGAGTTCAGAAAATAATCAAACGAACACTGATTTACCTCGGCTCGACCCAAGACTTTCGCCTTCACATTTGGACTGCCTTCTTTCTCTCTAACCCCACAAAGGAGAAAGGTGATGGCGTTACCAATCCACAAAGGTATGGAGAGGAAGAAGAAGATATCAAAATGGTTGAATCTCACTCACAACCTCACATGGCTTCCCTCTCTCTCGGCTGCCTCTCTTCTCTTAACTCTCCTCTCCATTGCTACAACACGCACGCACACCACACGGCTGGGAGATAGATACATATATATAGGTTAGTTTAGGTCACCAAATATGGGCCAAGAGATCTCTAAGTGGGCTGTCATATAACCTAAACTAATGGGCCAATTTCCAACTCCATATTAATCACTAAATGGTCTAACTAACCAAATAATTATCCAACCCAAACCCAAGCCATCCAAAAGTGTAGTTCGTCTCCGAGTCAAGCCAAGTCCATGGTGTCGATAAATAATTTGACAACTATTTTAAATTATCGCTCGAATTATTGGGTATCAAAAAACCCAACAAAATGAATTTGTTCAAAAGTTTGGCATAGATTGATGGAGGATAAGTCACCTGAAGGTTCATACAAAGGGGCATATTGACCTTTTATCTATATAGATTAGTGGCATAAAGTCTATTGGATTGTTACATCTAACACGACTCCACCCACGTAACCTACTAGAACATTGAATCAGGTGTGCCATTTTGATACAGGTCGTCAGGGACAAATGTCATATTTCTAGTCATTGATTGGCTACATATGTTGGTTAATCATTAATTTAATTAACTTATTGGTATAAGGTGACAGTTTATTTAGATTATTCATACTTAATTAGGGACCTTGGGTTTCACTGTCTAGTTAATTAAATATTTTACAGACATGAACATGCAATCTGACCAATATTAAATCGAATGATTCTGTGGCGATTGAAGCTTATAGGAAAAATCGAGAAGAGGAAATTGCTTAGGGATGATCAGATGAAAGAGTGGATAATATTTTAATAACATGTTCCATCAATTTTTATTAAAATATACTAAAAATCTGATTTTATTGTAAACCAAACCGCTGCAAAACATGGACAAAAGTCTAAGAACTGAACTTTTGAGAAAAGCTTCAACTCCTTCACAGCCTTATTCTCAAATCCAGAAACCTACAAGATCTTCCATGAGGGAAACTTTATTTATAGTGAGAAAAATCTATAGTACTTTCACAAAGAAACATTTCGACTAACAAGTATATGCCGCTAGATATCTGTGCTCCAACCAAAAGGTTCTCTAGTTCAATATCTCTATGAATCACGTGCGTTTCCATGACAGTAATGAGCGCTCTAGCTAATGATGCAACATACTGGTCACATCCGATAAAACAAATAATGACCTCTAGTCAGTCTTCCTATAAGCTCAAAAAAATGTCATTAGAATATTAAAAATTAAAGATGTATAGATGAGTTTTAGGAGGAAGAGCACTGGAAACAGCGAGAGGACTTATAGTAGAAGCGTGTCTTTCGCTAAAATATTTACATTTTTGCAGCTTCTTATATAGTTCTCCCTTGGCAGCATACTCCAAAATTAAATAAACTTGTGTCTGCAATTATTTTGCTACATATAAGTCCAATGTAAAATTTTCCTCTTAACATATAGAACCAAACAAACTCGAACACATCTGATCATAAAAATAACCATAGAGTTGTAGTATGTTAGGATGTCGAAGATGGCTCTGTATTTCGACTTAACGACGTAGCTGATTCTCAGCC